CAGGAAGAAAAAACAAGCTACAGTCCCCCTGACACTGGAAAACACACACGGTGGCCACAGTCCATTCATTTATTTCTGAGTATGTTGGTAGGTCTAATGAGCAGGCGTCTCTCTCCCTACAAATCCAGTCTCCCCTGAACGTCTTTAAGCAGTGTTCTGGGTGGCGAGCTGTGGTGGATGCCTGATTAACACCCCCCAGAAGGGATCACAAGAAGCTGATTGCTTCACTGGACGTGTTTAGTTGGACTTGCAACTGGTCAATGTCATGGCAAGTCAGGGAAGTAAACTATGTTGTTGTAAACCCAGAATTTAGGTCGTTTGGTGCATCTGCATTAGGTATCCAGTGACACAGCTTGCACAAACGAGAACTTTTCGAACGCAAAAGGGAGTTTTTAGGCTGTTGCCAGGCTTCTGTAGTGCTCAGTATCCTTTCATACTTTCTCCAGTTATAATTAAGTGGTGTTTTTAATCTTCAAAGCATTTTATAAACCTTACCTAATTAATCTTTGCAACACCTCTATGTGGCAGGTAAGCATTCATTAAGTATTTTTGATTCATAATTAGTCACCAGCTAAGCATTTAAGTAGTTCCGTTCAGAAAACCTAAATGAAAAAATTTAAATTTATTCCCCCTTTGCCAAAACGATGGGACAAACCATTGTTGTTTAATCCAATGATGTCTCCTTCCATTTAGTTGGGGTTTGGAGAATCAACTAGTTTGATTGATTGAACACTCGAAGGTTCTTTATAATTGCACAAAGAAATCAAGCTTGATTGTTCTTGTCACTTGGGTATTGCACTGAAATTATGCTGTTAAAAATAAGTAGCACCATATGTGAGAAATGCATTGTCTCAGCTAGATGGAGATGGAAGGCTTTTTGGTGTACTGTTGGTTGGCAGTTAAAGCATTGTGATTTTGCATCTGTTAGCCACTCAAAACTTTACTTTGTCTTAGTTTTTTGAATTCCTTTGTAGTAAGTTAAAGTAAATAAGATTTTTTATTTCAATCTTGGGCCAGACTCCATAGAAATCAGTTTGTGTCAGGAATATCTGTAGTAGCAATTAAAGCAGTGCCTGTCTTGTCTTTAAGTACACGCTTCTGAACAATAGAGGCTGTAATTGTAATTTCTGCAGAAGGGTTTTTGTATGCCTACAAAACAAACCAGAAAAACAAAACCTCTTCAGACCTACCATTATGATCTTGGAGTATTCATGTATACGTGCGAGAAAGAGAATTACAGATGAAAACATGAAATAATACCTTGAAAGTGTCACTTGCTTTTAAGTTCATAAAACAATTGCAAATCAAAGTGGGATTGGATTCAGAGCAAAACAAAAATTGAAACAAAATAAAAAATTAATAGCATGCAGTTGAGCTATTGTATTTTGATTGTGAGTATAAAATGTTCTACAACAGGTTAAGTAGAGGAGGAAATTAAACAGTATGGGGAAAAAATAAATCTTCTCCAGGGGCTACAATACTAAGCATCATAGGCAGGTTAGATTTGATGTGCTTTGACATGAGCTTGTTTTATACACCAAAGGTTAGCATTTAAGCCTATGTTTGAGCCTAGTATACATAAAAAAAGTAAACTTATAGTGTTAAAAATACAACTGTTGAGAAAACAGCAGCCCTGACTGCATAACATGTGCTTCTTATGCCACATTTACATACAGATTTGGAGATGTTTTTGCTCATCTAGAGAATGAAATTTCTGAAGAAAAATATTGGAAGTAATCTTCATATACCGTCACAGGCAGGTATTTTTACTAGACATTGCCAAAACAGAGTGTCATATCCGTAACTAACTTGTAGAAATCCTTACTGCAGGATTCTGGATACTAAAAACATTACAGTGACTGGACTGGTTCACGGGAGAGAACTCCTTTTAAGGTGTTGTACAACCCATGTCTGAATCCAAAAGCCCTTGAACCAGAGATTGCTGGAGATCAGCAAGGTGAAAAGCTGACACTATTGCCCTGCTCGTGCCCTTCTCTGCAGACAACCACATTCAGCTGCTGGCAAGGACGAGCACCTGGGGTAGGTGGAGCTCTGCTGTGGTGCAAGAGCTCTCTTGGAGGCTCCTGCCATGCATACTGACAGGACTGCAGAAAGTAAAGTGATCCCAGGTGAGGAACTGCCATAAGACTGGGAGTAAACCAAGAGCAGAGTAGTGACTGGTCTGAGAGGGTGAACTTCAGCTGATGGGATGAATTGCTGTGCGCTTGTATACCTCTGTGTGTGTACACACACCTGGCATGTGCCTATCTGTCCAGGTAGGATGCATATTTTTGTATGTATATGTGTAGAAATGCTAACCCATACATGTGGGCCACCTGCATTGCTGGGTGTTGTGGGAGCATTGCTGGGTGATGAGGTACTCTGACATTTCTGAAGATCTGGCAACTGGTGAGACCAGGGTCTCACCTTGGCAGTGAGTGTGCAGTGGTTTTTGTGGTCAGTGTGGTAACACCTGTATTAATCTCTCTGCTCAAGGAGCATGGTACCACAAATCCTCTGTTTCAGAGGACAAGTGTTTGATAGTGACAGTTGTTCCAGCAGAGATCCTGGTTTTAATACCTGTCTTTTTAGCTTAGCATTTGCTGTTTGCCATTGACTACTCAAAGCTGGAAATATTAGCATTGCTTTGAGAAGTAATGAATTCGACTCATGCATGCAGTATCATGTGTATTATTGCTGGCTCCAGAACCAATTACTATTTGCATAATCAAATTCTTAATTGCTATTTTTCCTTAAAGTTGCCGAGTACAAGCTATTCATTTTTATCCCCATGTAAATGAGGGGAAGAAGTGCTTTTCCAGCCATATTTCTGGCTTCACTGTGAGCTGTGAGCCAGCGTTGCGAGGCCTGCCTGTCGTTAGCATGGCATGGCGTTTGGATTTGCATTACGGTTAGCAGCATGCACTGCTCTTCTCTAATCCACACATTGATGTCTTATCTGACTGTAGAGCAGATCTTCAATAACATTAGCAGGTTGCAGTCTCTTTCATTTCTGTTTAGTATTCATTCCTTTCTTGGGGCTTGCCCATAAGTACATATATACAGGTGTATGTGCTGTATCATTTTAATTCAGAAGCCTGAATTAAAATAATAGTTATTTCTATAACCAGTGTATGGCTTTTCCTATATTGACAGTTAAATACTTCTCTGTATTTTTAGTAGATTTTCTGCTGAACTTTAATTTTTGTGTCACTTTTGTCCTTCCTCTGAAGGTCATTTTACTACTGTGTCTGGCCATGTCTGCATTGTTTCTTGCTCTTGGTACAGTGTCTTAATCTTAGTAAAAGTTTCCCTATGCTTTCTTCCTTTGGTGTTTCTCCCTTTCACAGTGAATTTGGCAGTTATTGAAGAACAAACTCTCGTTTGTGATCTGTAGGCAGCAACCTCAATACCTGGGGATGCAAAATTTGCAAATTTGTGTTGCTTTTCTGCCTGACTTTGTTGTTGGGTGGGGAAGTGGCTGTGGCCAAGAGTGCGTGCCCAGGAGCCGGTAATTGCCGTGCCTCCTTCGGGAGCATGGGGTGAGAGGGGAGGAGGAAATAGAGGGAGGAAGGTCAGGATCATTCATTACCCCCCAGAGAAATTCAGCAGGCAAAGCCTAAATTGGACAACTGTTTCAATCAAAACTATTTTGCCACTGGAGGAATAAGTTTATGGGCAGCAGTTGGATTCAAGGGATGGAGGATTCAGGAATACAATTCATGTTTTCACTCTCTGTGACATAAAAGCTTTTGGATTTTTCTTCTTTTTTGTTTCCTTTGTTTTTCACTTGTTTGTTAAATTAGTGGATGAGAAGCAGTTTCTTAAGAGCTGTTATTCATTTTTCATTACAAAGGTTGCTGTGCCTCTTAGCTGTGACATGGTTGTAGACTGGGGCTCTCGTAACTTCTGCATGTGACTTGGTTCTGCTCTCTGTTGAATGTAATGCTTTCCATGGTTGTGAAACTATATGCAGATGGGGCCATGTTTTTATTGTGGAGCTTTTTTTGCGGCAAGATTCATAATACAGGTTTCAAGAGCATGTCTGAAGAAGTCGGCTACCTCTGCTCCTGTCCTGGCACCGCAGCCGGATCTCGGGATCTCGCCTCCCTCGTGCCCACCCAGCACGTGCCGTTGGTCCTGCCGCAATTCTCTCCCAAGCTCTAAATCTCCATTATGGTTTAAATCCCTTTTGAGCTCAATTGGGTGAAAAGAATTCTTACCTACTATTACTTCAAATTAAGAAGTTAATCTTACCCATCGATAAGTAGCTAATTGTATCTGGCTGGTATCAACAGGATATCACCAGGCATATATTTTACAAGGAGATGGAGTAATGTACTTTTTAACTCTCCAACTGTATTGTCAGGCTTTATTTGGTCTATTTTCTCTCCTATCTGTTCAGGATTTTGTCTTTGACTTGTTTAATTAAAATCAGCTCACTCCAGCCAGGCTGGAATGTCCAATAATAACCGCTTATTAAGGAGTGGAAGCTGTGCAGTTATTAATTTAAAATATTTTGTTCCAGAGGTTTTGCTCAAATTAAATGGAAAACTAAATTAAACAATGATTTAATTAAGTGGAAGAGATAGAACGTAGAGGCAGATTTAGAGGGTGAAGATCTAAAAGAAGTGTATTCTTCCAGTTGTGACATCTAACAGATGTAATCCTTCATCAGCATGGAGAAGCAGAGATTTACTGTCATTCAGAGGATAATGAAGAAAGCAGTGGCAAGAATTATGTTACAAGATAAGAAACTAAATTAATGAATATATCTCTACAAACCTGAAGAAAAACTCCAGAGAAGAGATTCAAAGAAACAAAGCATGTATTGTTGGAAAGAAATCTCATACAGTCAAGCATTACTACATACTCAAAATTGCTGAAATACAATGGCAAATTAAATAATTTTATACAATATATATGCAGTTATAGAGTAACCTGTAAAAATAAACTTCATAATGCATTGGGATATTCAAGGATGACCTGCCATGAAATGATATTTCAATAATAATGATGCCAATTTGTTCACGTTAATTAGATTTATTGTTTGTGTATGCAGAGAGCTAGAAATCCCACAGAAGTAACAATTATCTCTTAACATTTCAGTTAACATTAGATTATTGAGATATACTTCTATTGTGACAAGTTCACAGGTCCCTTTCTGAATGGATGTGAAACGCTGTTTGCTAATTTTGAGAAGGTTCTCCAGCTAGGGTAGCATCGCCTAATACTAAACTTCCTGGCACTCTAGGTTTAATATTTTCTCTTTAAAGTCATTATGGTAATTAGTTTATTATTTTCTGAATAATTTTGTTGAACACTGTGTTTGAATTTATTTTAACCTTCTACAGCTGGGCTATTTGAGATGGCAACAACTTTAGTTAGGGTCTTAAGTTGCTCTGGCAGCAATGATTGTAAGTTAAATATTATTGTCATACATATTAAACACACATAAAGACACATAATTATTGTTTTTCTTTTTTAGAGAGTGGTATTGTGTGGTGGAAGTTTTTTACTCTAGAAAGCCATTAGCATACTTATGAAACTAAATGATACAAGACGTAGTAATATCAGAAAAAGGCTCAAATTCAGCTTTTCCTTCTGTATCAATAAAGAATCTCTTTTAATACTCATTTTACTGATTTTTTTCCATTCTGATTTTGTAGTAAGGACATATTCCTAATTCACAATAAATTATATGGGGAGAAAGTCGGGTTCCAGAACTCATTCTTAAAGCAGTGGTATTGCTTGTAATAAGTATAACTTACAGTGACATATATGGATTACTAAGTATCTTCTTTAGAGTTGGAAAACACCTTGTTTTATGTTTAAATAATGCCCGGTGTGTAGGGATCTTGGTCTCTGACTACTTCCCTTGGTGATGACATTATTATTATTATTAATTATTATGATGATGATGATAAAGGTGATTTTCCTATTACCACTCACCTATCCCTGTTGCAGTCTGTTGGCTATGAGAGTATAGAGGTAACACATCTCGTTGGCATTTCCGCGGGTCTGTTGCCAATCATGAAACGGTACCATGCGGGTGGCAAGGAGTGGTCACAAACCAGGTCCTGAATCGCCGTTCGCTGCAGCTCCAGCGAGTCAAACCTGGTGCTGCGGTAGGGATTGCGGAGGACGCGGTGTCCCTCCGGGGAGCACTCAGGAGCTGGAAAAGGTGAAAAAGGACAACGATTGAATAAGTTGATTCGACTGGATACTGTCAATAATCACTTAAAGGGAGATACATAGTCTTATGTTCAGATTCACTTCGGGACTGGGCTAATTTTCAATGCAAACATTGGGAAAAGATCAAGTTTGGAGTTAAATATGTAAAATTGGCAGGCAGGTACCATAAAGATTTTAGTTATCTAGATTTTCCTCATATCTGAATCAGAAACAGAAACCTTAACTCTTTAATGGGACCTCAGTCTAGTTTTAGGGATGAACATCTGAATTGCTCCTCCTCAGAAGTCAAGTAATGTTTTGAGGTTCCAAAGTCTTGTGATCTTTGAAAATATGTTGGTTTTATGATTACATTATTTTATTTTTTATATGTAGCCATGTACATGAGTATTTTAATCACAATAAAAATTGATGCTCAAGTATAAAGTGCACTTCACATACTTTTAAATACATATTTAGAATAACGAAAACAAGAAATGTTAAAAAGAGAAAAAGAAATGATGGAAAACCAACAATACCCTGGGTTTTTAGAAATGAGCTCGAGTTAGGCTTGCAAATATTAAAGCCATAGGTCAGACTTGCCTGAGGCGTGTACCCATAAAGCCAAATACATCAGAGCTTCCGTGCATGCATCGTAAAGTTTGAATCAAAGCCTCTGCCACTAGGCCTATGTTTGTTTACACACCCGCCTTCTTTGTTTTCATACATCTCTTGATTTTTTTTTTTTTTTTACAGAACAGTCTGTATTTTCTTATCACCTAATAAAAAGAAGCCTTACAGTGATTCTTTTAGAAGTTTCTTATTTTCAGAAAGCTGATCATGTAGGAAAAAAGGGCCTTTTCTTGGTTATCTTGGCCATTTCTCTATGAGGCAAAGTCCATTTTCGCTGTGTTAGCGTTGCAGAGTGGGTCACAGGAGGAGACCGAGGTGGAGCTGCTCTGCTTTGTGCATCTGCAACAGAAGGTTCAGCTAATTTCTTGCCGCAGTAATCTTTAATTGCTAATGATGATGTAAGAGGCAGAGAGAACATCGCAGGAATTGCACAACCTGGGTTTGGGAGGGAGCCTGGCAGTTAGCAAAACCATCTTTCTGCACTGTAAATAGAACTTATTTGTGTGACAGTGTTGACAGAGAATAAGACCCCCTCCTCATAATATCATTTTTCAAATGTCACTCTTCAGATTATAAGCCTGCTTTAATATTACGCCAGTGGCACTCTCAAACAGATTTATCATTTTTATTTTATTGATGAGATACTCAGAAGGTCAAAGTGAACCCATTTATGGTGCTATTTTTACAGATTATTTTTATTGTGCCAAAGGGAAGCCAATGGTATACAGGACAAATGGGGACAAAATGTAGCGTAACAGAGCCTTTACTGCAATTTTCAGGGAACTAAACTGTCAAAGCGATAGTGCAATTCCAATTCAAAATTCAGCTGAATTAATACAGTTGCCTTTTTAAATAAAAAAGGAGTGCCCTAAGCTTTTATTTTCTGCAGGTAAGAGCCATTTTACAGATGAAACACTTGGACATACCGCACCTCTAATTAAATCTGGGATCCAATTCCATCCCTCAGATGTCCTTTCTGGGGATTTGGGCTCAGCGGTGTGGACCACATGGAGACTGTCCTTTGCCAAGTCCCAACCCAAGGGAACAAGTGACATTTCAGCAGAGCAACTATTTTAAGCAAATGAAAAGTTTACCCTATATTTAAAAGCCATTAAAAAAACCACAGACCCTCACTGACCCTTTCAATATCACTCAGCGCTTCGGGAGTGTTAATGGGAACAGGATTTTGGCTCGTGGTGCCTTTTGCTTTCTGGACAAAAGAGTCTAAAAGTAAACGGCTCTTTGCACAGTATTGCCACAGGAATCCTGCCAGAGCATTGTAACGTAATTAATAGCATTCAGTTTCTCAATAATAATAATATCAAATACTCCTTTTAAAAGTAATTAATAACCTTCTGCTCAATATGTATTATTTATAATCCAAATTCACACAATATGTTGTGGTCTTACCAATGATTAACTACTCTGTCTAAACAATGCAAATATATTAGACACTGAGACACGGCTAATTATTTTTCATCCTTTGCACAGTTTTGTTTGCAGTCGTTTAGAAAACACTGTTTCACATATCAACGTTAGAGGAGCTGAATGCTGCAGATGGGACTTGCAAAGGGTGGGAAGGGACTCGGAGGAGCACATGGGGGAGGCATGCAAGGTCGGTAAGGAGAGGGGTGCTCACCCGTTAAATTTAATGGTGTTTGGGACAAAAAGCCATGTGTTTGCTCCCTGAAGAGCATAGGTGTGAGGCCCTGTCTCAAACACTGCCACCTCTAAAGGTGTATTTGATTCTGTATTATGTGTCAGAATATGTTTCTATACCTGTGAGTGGGTTTAGTTATGCTTGCAGGCTGTCATCGAGGAGGCAGCCAGGCAAATTGATCTGCTGCCAGCTCCCCTGGAGCCGGACTGATGGGTTTTGTTCTCACCCTGATGTAGATCAGACCAAACCACACCGGGCTCGACACCGGTGCGCTGGCACGGAGCAGGAGGGAGCACGAGCAAAAGCTCGCCCAGGTTTTGTAGCAAGCTGTGAGCAAAATAATCCCTCGGTTATAGCGTTTCCCTTGTAAAATCGTGCTTACAATGATTCTGCCATAAGGCTGTAGTAAACTTTCACATGCGAATTGCAGGCCATGGTACAAGTTAATTACTACTCCCTTTCCCACAGAAATAAATATGTAAAAGCATCACTGTAATCAGCCTATATTACGAAAAAGTTATTTAAAAAACTGCAAGAAGGTACAGTTGAGCCCTGTTGGTTGTTCACCTGAGGGATGCCCGCCTCTATCTTATGGTGACTGCAGCTACATTCTAATCAGATGAAGCCTTCCTCTTCATTTTTAATTCATGACAGTCAGATGCAGATGTCGAGTTTGTGTACAGTGATGAACTGCTCAATATCACAATTGTCCCCCCTGTTGTGAGGAACAATAAAAGTCCACGTCCATGTCTTGTATGGAGTCACTGTTACTCTGTGGTGTGCAGGCTAGATTGCCTTTAGAAGGAAATAAATATTTCTTTACATAGGAGAATGTATATTTATTTCTTTACATAGGAGAACCTGTACATTTAATTTAATCTCCCAGCTCTATTCCTATAATTGTCTTAAAAGGGCTAATGAAAAAAATGCTGGCTTTTCAGGGAGCTGAGTGCTCATCATCATGGTGACCATTCAGATCTCCTTCAGGAAGAAATTAAACTGTGCAGTGAGATTTTGTGGCTCTCAGTCCAGTGTTGCTGGAATTCAATGTTGCGCGTTAGCTGGTGCTTTAGTTACCTGCAGAGAGTTTCTTCTAGAACCAGCATCACCCTTGATATAAGCCAGGAGCTGTTGCTAAGACAGAAGGATTTGTTTGCGTCACTAGACTTCAGGCACTGTTGTTTTTAAAGCCAACGATTTTGTGGCAGCAACTTGCTGCAAAGAGACACGGAGTAGCTCCTTTTTTGACAGAAAAAGCAAACAAATAGCAATACCTGTTGCAGTTGCTCAGTGGAAACAGCAATTGAATAACTCTGGTGGCAAGAGAAAGCACGTCCTGTGGGGAAAAATCTGGCCTCACTGAAGCCATAAGGGAAGTTGCTGTTCATGCCTGGAGGTCGAGATTCACCTGACGTTAATGTGCGTGAAGTTGTTATGTGCAAATGAGACAAGGGGCAGCCTGTGGGCTGGCTGGGAAGAGGAGAGCCTCCTGCAGCAGGCAGAAGCCTCCAGAAATATCCAATGGAAAATCAGCAGAAAGTGGATCTCTGAACCGGAGTTTTCATGCTGAAATGCTGTTGTGGGCCTGGGGTCTGGCTCTCAGCTGAAGGAAACATTGATGGGAGCACAGCTGGAGGAAGATACACATGCCAGTAGAGCCCAGGGCAGCAGCCCAGAAGACCATTCTTGGTGGGTTGCTCAATATTGCACCAGCTGGGACTGAGGCTCCACAGGGCTACACCAGGGACAAGCCAAATAATAGTCTAGAAAAGTGTTTTTGGGGCTTTACTCTGGGATGCCCCCAGCACAAACTCACACGTTTAACACCTTAAACATCCGCTGGCTGGAGCTTATTTCAAGCAGGTTGGTAGCTGGATGGTCTGCAAGCAGCAGAGCCACTCAGCAGTGTGTGTCTTCGGCAGTGGATTTGGTAGAAAAGATGCTGCTGTGGGGACCACCAGGCCCTCCCACAAACAGTCTGTCCATCCTGGCTGATGCTCATGGCCATGGGAGGAAACGTCAGGCGCTTTGGAGAGGGATGCCAGGAAAATTGGACTGTCAGGCTGAAAACTTATGAAATAATTCACTAAACATTTGCTTTTATTGGTAAAGGCAGGTGAGTGTGGGTGTGACAGAGCTCTACCTGTTGCTCTTGCTCCCAGTAAATATCAGTGGCTTATGTGGAGGAAGGTTTACGAAGCTGCGAGATTTTTTTTGTTTGCTTTGAATAGCAGCTGCAAATCAAATAATATCAATAGGTGATGGCAGCTAGAAAACCCTGAAAGAAATGTAGTCCATGAGCCCAAGGTGCATGTTTGTTTTGGGCAAGATTGTGCCAGCCATGCAATATATTTAAAGGGCATTGTAAAGCTCTGGGAAATAGCCTGTGGATCACAATTTTTGTGTGGAGGGTGAATGAAAACCCAGTGACTGATGCAGGTAATACTAACCAACAGTAGCATCTGGTGATGAGCTGTAGCTGTTCCATGAGCAGGAAAGATGTCTTCCTAGATGCAGATTTCTTTCTCGTTCTTGTCCCCCACATCGTGGGAGCCTGGCTGGAGCCTTCACCCTGAACCGCAGTGAGCCCCGAGGCCGGGGAAGCGGGGCTGCGTGGGGGCTTTGGCATGGCTTCGCTCAAAGGCAGAGCGAGGAGGTGGCTAGGGAGCTTTTGGAGTGCGGCGTCTGAAAATATGCACACGTAGGAAAGT